TCCCCAAATTTACCGTCTAGTTCAATTGTCGGCATCGCGCGTAATAACATCAGAGAGCAACAATCGTGATATAAACTATTATCGTGCAGAAACCAATAGTTAAAGACAATCACGTTGCTAAACTGTCTCGACAAACTAGTGTACAAGCATGCTAGTCGATACTTTACGAAGTCTATATCATGTGAGCAACCTAAAACTAGTCCGCCTGATCTCCCCATTCTGTATTACAGATAAATCGTAGTGTTCGCTTTGAGAGATTCGCACAGACCGTGAGGACGCGATTCGAGAAAATTAAATACAATCCTAAATTATCAAATCAGTACACATTTCTTATAGATGCTCAGCTTCAAAGAAACTAAATGCCCGTTTCATTATTCAATTCACAAACACTTAACGCATATTAAACGGCAAGTAGCCGAAAAGAGAAGATGGGAAAATTGCAGATTAACTGTCGCTACGTAATCGTAGCTTGTTAGCAAATGAATAAAAATATAATCACTTTATATAACTCTACTACCATAACCGGATTGTATAACAAATGTGCAACGTGACAGCGCTTTACTGCAACTTTCTCTGCAAGTTTGCTAAACCAAAAATTAATAACTCGTCGTTGTACGCGGGTAGAAAAAAATGCAAGTCCATTCGTAAGGAAATATGACACGAGCAACGGCTAAAAAAGGTTAATAATTTATAGAACATATATCGGTGTTAATGAAATAAATTCTGTTGAACATCTTAAAGCTGAAAAAGCGGCGTTGCTTCCGCGTGAATAATGACAAATGTATATACGTAACGCTGAAATCGCCGTAGGATTCTCTCATTTCGCCATGCAAATCGGCAAATACAAAAGGGGGAGTGAAACCGATCGACGAGGAACGAAAGGCGTGGTCGCATGCTATTAGTAATAGTGAAGACGTACCCTGTACCAAGTGGCCACCTGCGAGACGCTCGAAAGGGGTGGAGAAGCGGTGGTGGCGGTTTATCCGTAACACAACCGGAAGTGGAGGGTGATGAGGGCCCGAGAAAGGGCGCGTTTTGTATTCGCGTGGCAATTGCAATATTCGTTTGTTCGTTCGTACGAAGGGGGGTGGTACGCGCGTTCGTAGATAGGGCCCCACAACACGAGACGATAGTAGCACAGGTGTGGCGGTTGGTGGTTGGTGGCGGGTGTAGAGTGTATTTCGCCCCCGTGCAAGGTGAGGCAAAAGCAAAAACAACAACAACAACAACACCACAGGTCAGAAAATACACGGATCATTGGCGATCACGCGCATCGCGAGACAAATATACGTATATATAAATCTATACACATGAATAATTTACGTATGAATAATACAGGTGCACCTACATATCGTAAGGCGCTGTCCCAGGATGAGTTGGACGTAATCGCATCGCCAACATTCCTCTCCTCTTACAATGTGGTTTGTAATACGATAATAATAATGTAGCGTACGCTAATACATTTAATTCGGGAGATTATCGACCAATTCATCCTGAATGCAGCGCAGAAATATTTCAATGAGTAGAGACGGAACAAAAAGTAAAACATAGAGTACAAATGAAACTCTGGGAAGATACTGGGACAGGATTGAGCCGGTACCAGTACATGTTCTCTCTCCTTTTATATACACTGGTCAAAAAAATTAACGCAACAAGAAATTTACATCAAAATTTGGCGAATTTCAAATAAGCGTAACTTCGCGAAAACTGGTCGAATTGAAAAGTTTTTTTTTTCATTTTATAGGGCAAAGTCTCTGCTTTAAGAAGCTCTTATTGGAATTTGCATTCACTCTTCCCATTTCCCGGAACTTTCTCAAAATCATGACCATGTTTCTTCTCTAAAAAATTGCACACTTTGACGCACTGTGTGGAGTGTAGTAATTTTTCTTCGCCAGTTCTGTTTACGGTATCAAAAAGTGTATACTTTTCTCTTCAATTTAAAAAAAAAAGAAGTTCCTACGATTTTTTTTCGCCAAATCACAGCTCATTGAAATAACCCTTGTGTTTTCGACATTACCGACGATATCTCCGTTAAAACTCATCGTAGCAAGATCGTTTTTGTTTTAAATTAAAGCTTGCACTCTCAGCTTCAAAACTAGTCACCAGATTTTTCCTCGAATGCATCTGCGCTGCTGTAGCTTTTAAAATGTAAGGACATGTTTTTACCTAAAAACTAACCAACTTTGGCCAGGTGCCCGGGCGTAGGAAATTTTTCCTCGCTAATTCTGCTCGAAGCATCAAAAAGTGTGTACTTTTCCCTTCAATTTAAAAAAA